AGTTGACGGCTGCAGCAGCCACCAGCGGATCAGTCTGCTGTCCCTGCTGGTTCTGATTTGGGGTCAAAGGACGCTGACTGGCTCCTCCACGGAGAACCTGAAGAAAACAGAGGAAAATCAGTCTGTTTAGCTCGAGCCTCAGGAGTAAACCACGATAACCAGACACTTGCAGGACACCAGCAGCAACCTACTTAAAGTTCTTGCACGCAGCAGCAGCTGTGTCACAACCAGTGTGTGACAACCCCTTCCCTTTACTTGGAGAAAACCTGCCTTCTCCATCAGGACGTTTTAACACCATCACCATGGGTAAATGCATAGGACCCGATGGAAACAATACACCCTTTGTCAGGCTCCCTGAGCATAAACTGGAAGAGCTTCATCTTCTGACCTTTTTCATTCCGTGACATACCTCCAACACTCATCCTCTGTCAGAAGTGTCTGCGAGCCTCTGTCCCATTACAGACAGCATTCGGTCTCTGCCAGAAAGGCCCTCTTGAGCAGAAACCTTAAAAGCCTGACTTTGGAGCTGTGGGCTGATGACACGAGGTGACCTGGGTTTTTCCAGCCACCATAGAGAATGGTGACCCAGTGACACGACACTTACTCACTGGAAATAATGACCAGAGATCACACACTGGCTTTGTGTATGTAGCTCTTGTGGTTTAAGCACATGTTGCTCTCAGAGGGGAAGATGGCAAACTGACCTTTCCTGTAATTACCTGCGACAGGCTTTGTTTGCAAAAGCCTTTTACTCAGTGGTGATGCAAGAGTCTGCACCCACTCGCGAGGTCAGCTTATTAAAAAAGCTGTCCTCTGGTACTCAGCACGTCTGGTTGCAGAAATTAACATCATGTGTGTTACCCGATAAAGTTATTTCAAGGAAAAATTACTCCGTGCACAGAGGCTGGGAGAGGATACTGAAGCTAATAGATTTGGAGACATCCCAGAGTCAGCTATGGCTGTCAAAGCCTGAACGTGAACTCCTAACCTGGGAGAATTCCTAGGCTGGGAACGAGCTGCAGCTCTCGGTAAGCAGCACAGCACACGGGCACTGCAGAACGTGTGTGATGGATGACGTGCTGCAGAAGTGAAACGCTGGCATGTTTATAAATACACCCCCCTGTGTAAGATGTCGTGAGCATCACGAATCGACTGTCCATAATCATCATTCTAGGTTTCTAAAACACGTGCCTCAGCACTTCTTTGAAGAACTTCATCCAAAATTACCCACTCATCTTCTTACAGAGGGAAGGCCTGCATTAAAAACAATATACACGATCCCCACTCACGCCTGCTCCGTGGCTATGAAGTAATGACAAATATCACCAAGGCTACTATGATTGATACGTACTGTTTGAATAGCTTAAGCCTGTGCAGAAGCTGTCTTAGCACATACCTATTTAAAGGGGAGAGGCTCCCAGTCTGAATGCCAAAGCATAAATGTGCCACACTCTTAACTCCGTTTACCTGGGTGCATGGATGTGTGCAGAAGGGCTGCTCCATGCGCTCCTGTCAGTGACCTGCCAGGTGGGGAGGTTTGATGATTAACTTTGTCAGGAGCAAAGTGTTCTCCTTCTGGTCCCTGGTCCAGAATCATTGGTGTGAAAACATCACTGCTTTTATTATCTGAAAAGGCCTTATAATACTACACAACCACTTTTTTGCTTTAGATTTTTTTGTTTTGAAGCAGAAGCTAATAAATGCAGTTACCAATTGCGATCTTCTCCGAGGGCTGAAATCTCCAAAGTACAAGCACCAGAAAGGAAGGCTCTGCGCTGCTACGACGCAATCTCCTCGCTTTTCAGCCAGATAATGAACCCATTTTGTTTCCAAGCAGGAACTACTGTGGGACAGCAGCTGATAACACTGTGTAAAGCCAGCTCCAGGAGGCCCAGTGCTTTAACCAAACAGCAGACAGCTGGGCAGCAGAGGCAGCCAAGTAACAGGAGCCCAGGCCAGCTCCTGACACCTGCCCTGCAGACCCCTCCTTTGGCGTGAAAGGGGAGAAGTGGAATATATCTGAGCACGTCTAATGGGAGCGCAGCCCAACGCAGTGACAGCACAGCGCCTCTAATCCTTTAGCACCTGAGTTAACTACAGAGCTTTAGTAACAATAATTACACTTTTACCATTGATTTAGTGTGAAAGTTTTTTGTTGTTGTTGTTTTTGGTTTTTTTTAGTGCCAATATAAACAGCAACTTGACAATTTCTGGAGGGATTTTCTTTAGGGTCCCAGGATTTGGACTCAGTGATCCTTGTGGGTCCCTTCCAACTCAGATATTCCACGATTCCATGGTTTTATGATTTGCACTCCCATACTCTTTAATGAAAAGCTGAATTACACTTTTATATTTTTTATATATATAAATTGTTCTGTATTAATTCTCAAAGCAGTCTGATTTTTCACCTTTTCCTCCAGCAGTTGCTGAATTCAAATGTCATCTGCAGAGTTACAACTATGATTAAATACCAGACTTTCAAAATGCTTATTTTACTTAACTGAAATTAAGATTTACTAGGTAAAAATTAAGATTTACCTTGGTTGATTTTTCTAGTTCAAAACAAAAATGGACAAAGAACTACAAAAAACGTATTCTTTTACTCTTCTGTTGGAAAACATCCAAGCTATGTAAGCCAATATTCTACCCTTGCCAAGAGATTAAGACAGAACAGTTGGATGGTGCAAACCCCACCAACCTCATTTACAAAGCGTGTAAGCAGGAATGTCCCCTCATCAGCCCTTCATTGCCTGTTTTGTGAAATGTAAATGCCATTTAAACAACACACACCTACCTCTATATTCAACTCTAACATACTTACAGGGTAACAACTGATCACACCAAAAAAATCCTTAATTTTGTCCTTTTAGGTGTTAAATTTTTCTATTTTTGTATGACTAAAGCATAACAGCTGTAGGCTTAGCCTTATAAAAATAGCAAGTTCAGTGTTTTCTTTTCACACAACTTTTGTTTCCAAGTCTTCGCACAGATACCAAACTAATTCATTTTGCTGTTATTTTGACCCTTTTAAATCTAGTCTTGACGGGAAAAGCATCATCCTGAAGATGAGAGCACACCACTTACTGACAGCTAGTATTTGACGGGCATTTTCATCCTCTCTGGGGCCTTCACCATGAAAACCGAGTGTGCGGTGATGATTTCTGCTCGCACGCCAAGGACACGTGTTTGCCAACAAATGGCTGCAAATGACTTCAGGTGCAAAAGCATCCGCCCACTTACCTGTTGCTGGCCCTGCTGGGTTTGCTGAGTGGTCTGCTGATTTGCCGAGTTAGTTGCGGCGGCAGCTGCAGCAGCTTGCTGCTGGAAGAGACTGGCAGGATAAACTCCCCAGGGCGTAACTCCATAGTACTGGTGAGGGACAACCGCGGGGCCTAAAACGCCAAGGGAATCAGTGAGCTTGTGGAGTGTCACAGCCGTCACACAGCAAACGGTCACCAAAAATACCTGCACCTCATGCTTGGTTTAACAAAGCCTATTTCAAGGTGATCTGCTTTAAATCCTTTGCAAATACGAAGGCATTCTGCCATTTGTATTATTCATTTTAAGAGAGCTTACAAGTCAGACCTGAGATTTCATCTTTACTCGCTTTTACCTTACCGGATGAAGTCCAATCCTGCTGCCAGTGATCCTGCTGAAATTCCACGTTTTTATTGTTGAACCCTAATTACATAGTGAAGCACCAAAACTTTTTTTTTTTTTAGTCTCTAACAAAAAAGAGAAGGAAATTTGTTTAAGCACAACAGAGACGTGCAAGTCTCTCCTGATCTCAGCTGACACTCACGGCTCAGTAACATCGATCATTAGATCTCCAAGAAATAAATTAAAAAAAAATCCCTCTTCATAGCTGGATAGCATCAATTCGCAAGTGTCTAAAATGCCATTCTTCTAGCCACCGAGTCCTACCTTGTATTCACAAATAACCATGAAAGAGCCCAGAAGATCCTGTATCTTTCCCTATTCCACTGTCCTTGAACTGCTGGCTACATTTAAGGGCCTTTAAAGAAAATATATAATAATCTTGGAAAACAGAGAAAACATAAAACACAAGGAATCTTCCGAAGTTCTCAAGCCTCAGGACATCGTACCCTTAATTTTGTGATAATAAAACAGCAGAACATATCCTTAACCACTTCTGGGTGGTGAAGAACTGCGTAACATGGCAGAAGAAACGAGTCCTTGGCGCTGAGCAGCGGGGTCCCTCCCACCAATTAACACCTATGTGAATCTAATAATATTTTTAATATGCCTGCTCTGTATCTTTTGGAAAGGTCAGCGGAGGAGAAGTATTTCCTTCACTTTTCAAGCACAACACCTATCCCATGGTGTGTGGCTTCTTTCCCCACAGCAAAAGCACCTTACAGCAGGGGAGCCTTTTAGGATAGTGCCACGTGGTCAACACTGCCGAATAAACAAGTAGTTAGTGAATTTGAACCACAATTGTTCTTAGATGAAGAAAAAAAAAATATTTTAAGAGAGTTAGCATTTGAGTTCTAACTAAGTCATTTAAGTATCACTGTTAGTTATGTCTTACAAGTCACTACACCAGAGACCAGATTTAACCCCACCAGCCCTGCCCTTCCTGACCTGAGCAGCTCCAGACACGCAGTTAATCGATGGCTCACACCCTGTTTGCATCCAACACAGATCAGATGCAAAACACTGGGGTGGTTCTGCACTCCAGAGAAAACAGTTCTAAGTGCTCCGTCACACGCAGAGAACTGGTTTGCCTCTGTCCTTGGGCTACTGGGAGGTTGCTGCGATACACCTTACCTGGGCAGAATTTGGGCAGCTCTCTGGGTTATTTTAATCTCTGTTTTAATTATCAAGCAAGCATAGTCTAGGTTTTTTATTTTTTTCCCTCCTAGTTAGTGATTGCTCATCAGATCTGCAAAAGCCTTGGGTGTTTAAAAGGAGAGGAGACGAGTCCTTTGAAGTCTGCAGGTAGCTAGGCTTAAAAGAGCTGCAGCTATTTCTGCAAGTCTGGCTCAGCTGCGTACTTGGTGAGGTTCTCATTACTGAACCACGTTCTCAGTGAGGGCAAGTGTGTCATCATCGCCAGACATATAAAACCACGCGAAGTGTTTCTCTACTGCAGGAGATGTTACACCTGCTTTTACACTTATTAATGATACACACACACGAGAAAACAAAAGCCATTTAGTGTCTTTGCAATCAAATGTTCCCACTACCGTGTCTCACTTACTGGCCACAGACACCCACAAATACTTCTTCCAGGAAACACCAGGAAAAACATATCAAAGTGTGTTCGGGGCAGGTTTTCCCCTTTTACTCTCGGCCTTCCCTCTCCAGTCACTTTAAGCAGAAGCCGTAGCTGCTCTCAGCAGAGCTGCACCCGACGTGCTGGGCTTCCTGGCCCGGGTAAGGACCTAGCAAGCACCCAGCTACAGAGTACCCTCAGGTACCCCATGTCTGAAAACGTGAGGCTGCAAACAGCAGCTTTATCAAATATTTACAGCTTGTGGGCTGACGGCTTCAGAATTAACAGTAGGGCAACCGCGGACATCCCAGGAGTGGTGACTTTTTAGGGAGGGAGGGAGGAACAGCTCAACTCCAAGGCTCTTGTGCAGTCCCGTGCAAACCCTCTGGGGCCAGCACCGATCCAGACCAGGAGAAGCACCCTTGCACGACCCCGTGCCCAAGGCAGCTGGGGAAGATCCAGCTGTGCGTGCTCCCCAAAGCCCTGTCCCAGGCGCTATGTGCATGCGACCATACCCGCTTCCAGCTCCAGGCTGGCTCTGCAAGGGACACAGCTCGGCACCAAGTGAACGAGGCTTCCAAGAAACCCAAGCTTGAGAAGCCCGGCACAGGCACATCCGAACAGACTCTACCTTCAGTCTAGGAGCACTGTTTTTCCTGCGTGCAGATTATTCCAGCATCCACTTTTCTACGAAGAACAGAAACACTTTTCTACCTGTAACGTATCACCTCAGAAGGAATCAACATTCCCCAACTTAGAGGGAAAATCTAAAGGCAAAATTTCTTTTTCTGTTGTTGACATCTCTCTCAAGTGACAGATGGCAATTTCACAACACTTCCTAAAGCCAGCAGCATCTTCCCCAAAGTCTAAACTCACAAGCTATTCTCCTAGGTCTAGGATGCCCTTCCCTCTATTCAAATTTGCTCTTCTTTTAAGTGCTGCTATTGTTGAGAAGAAAAGGGTATTATCACAGGGCTGACAGCCTTACAATCATGAAAAAGCTGCCATAATGATCGAATCTTAATTGGCAGAATCATCTCTGCCATAAAACACACAAAAGTTTCCCCTCCACTCTTAAGAGAAGCTGCGAACAATAGGCTACCGACAACTCCAAACTCATTTCTTCCATCTCATTAACTTCTCCAAGTCTTCCCAATTTAATGCTCCCATACAAATCAGGAAGGCTGTCTGCTAGACTTGTAACTCTGAACAGCTAAATAGTTCCACCCCCCTGCAGTGCATCACTCACTCTTATTAGAGAAAAGGCTTTCCAAACAGCTCAGAGTCTAGACAGAAGAGGTGCCTTCGCTAAAACAAACACCACCCAGAAGCAAAGTTTGTTGCATTGCCATTTTTAGCTGAGTCCAAAGCCCAACAGGACAGACCAAGTAACTCACATCTCGGAGCTGTAACGCTGTGAGCACACTGCAGTGCGTTACACACTTTCGCTTTGTTTTCAAGAGCCATAAAGTTTAAAAATTATTCAGGTCGAGACTTTCCTGCCAGTTTTTGGGAAGCTTCAGATATCCGGGGGGGGATCTTCTAGTCAGATTTATACGGCCTCAGTCAGAGCTTCAGGCATTTGCAGCTTCAACACTGCTGAGAAAAGGGTGGGAGGGAAAAGGGGGGGGGGGCTGAGAACACCCTTGCCATTTCCTAGAAATCCAGCAGCAGTTACACGTGGTCTTTCTATGAAAAGAAGACCCTGTCCTCCTGCTCCACTGCACTTCAGTGTCCTGCTTAAGAACAAACACCAACTTTAGGCACATTAAGGTGACACAAAAAGGCCACCCAGAAGCCTCTTCCTATAATACTTCCTTAGGAAGTGCTCCACAGCACTCTGCTGACTGTAACTGGCCCTGAGCCCGTTCCAGCACCCTCTTCCCCAGCAAGGCAGGCCTACAGCTCCCTACATTTTCCACAATGAGTTCAGGTCATTCATTCATTGTTATGCTTTCTTCGTCACATGCTGATTTATTGACTCCTGGACTATTAGAAATATCCTTGTACTCTAGCTCTTGGCTTTCCTCCATTTAATCACAGCATCATCTGTTTGCCCACAACACGCTGTTACTTACACTTATCTTTCATTGCCATTATGCAATCAGCATACAAAATTCACAACAGCCAAAGAAGTCCAAAGCTCACATCTTTGAATTACAAACTCGATTCCTTACATACTTCCCTGTGATCTATTAAAAATGCCATACAAGCAGGTAGCACTTGCTAAAATCCCATTTCCAAGCCTGACCTGATACTGGCCCCAAAGCTCAGAAGCTAAGCAGCACGTACCTAACAGCTGCTAAAGCCATAAGGAGTCACAGCCCAAACCTACAATGCTGTCTGACAGAGCGCTCTGCTCAGGTACACCCAAGGTTTCACAGTTCCCATTGGGCACAAACTATCTCAGCAGAAGAGGTTTGCAACGAGCAAGCAAGCTACACGCAAGTGGAACGCAGCAACGGTGTGCAGCCTTCACTACAAAATAACCACTGCTCTCAGCTAAGCGGCTTCTATTTAAAACTAAGGCGGCTTCCACTCCAGGTGGCTCAAAAAAAGTGAAGCATGATTATAAAAATACTCTTCTGAAAGTACATTCTTCTTTTGTCCTCACCGCTAAGGCCAGAACTTTGTGGCATATGCAGTAGAAGTTCAACGTGCAATGTGTTCTTCACACCGTCTGATAAGCTGTTTTCCCGAGCTGTCATCTCGAGATACAACAATTTTGGCTACGACAGTTGGAAAGAATTTGGAAACTGATACTTGAACGTTTGGGAGAAAGATCCTGCACAAAGCCTAGAACCACCATCTTTGCCTGCCATCTGGAAAGCGACATACTCATCGCGTAAGCCTCACAGCAGACACGGGATGTTTTCACCTACACAATCTAAAAAGCATACATTTTTAAGAGGCAGCTAGCAAAGGGAAAAGATATCGTTTGCAGGATACACTGCAGTAAATCAAGCTGAGTACCAACAAGATGCAATATTCCTGGCAGGAAAACACATCCTCCATCTTCATAGCATTTAAAAAGTGTATTTATAAAGGTATCTTTCACTACTGTCAGTTACCAAAGCATCCCAAACATGTAACAACATTTATCTCTGCAAGTGCTTCACTTCAGATTTGCTCTGCTTGTTTATCCGCAGCAGAAAGAGAGCCCACAGCAAGTGCTATACAAGAATTATCACATTTAATCTACAGAAAACAGGGTTTCCAAGACAAATTCCGCTTCAACTCCACAATGATATACAATTATCTCCCTGCGGAAGTTACAGTGTACTAATAATTTATTGCCACAATCAGCAGAGTCTCAAGAACAGTTTTGGTACAGAACATGGCAAGGAATGCACAGACAACTGGAAGTACCTCACCTAACGTTGCAGCTGCTGCAAGTCCGGCTGCGTAGGGATCCGTGCCTGGAGGAGCGGCGCTGATGATGTATGGATTGGGGACAAAGGCAGCAGGAGCTAAACCTGCTGAAAACATACCTGTCAGTAAAAACAGACTTACTAGAACTGAAGCCCTACCAAAATACCTCTGGCTATTTGGCTGACAAATTGTCTGACTGAACAGTGTGGAAGAAAGGCTCATGTTGCTTTAGTATTTTCAAGCTTTTTATACGTTGCTCTCTATAGGCAGTGAGTAGCCTCTGTGTTTCCTAGAGTCTTATTATAGCAAACTACAGAGAATACGGTTTACATTGAAAAATCAATCTAATTCCAACACCGTAGTGCCCCATAAGGAAGACTAAATTGACAAAACAGTCTACATATAGTACCCATACCTGCTCGGGTACCTCTGCAGTGCAGATAAACCCTCACTGTTTAAGTGATTATTAACAGCAGCTAGATATGAAGGCTATCTAATTGCTTGTTTTGAGTAGCAAGTTAATCAAGAACCAGTTTAGCCTACTTTCTGAGCCCCAGGCCAACTACACAATACCAGCACTCAATGCATTATTTTGGAAGGAGCTCAGCAATGTATGGACAGCATCACAGCACTGACAGTGCCTGCAAGCATTACCCTCCTCTGCAGGGAAAGAGTTAATCATTAGAGAAATTACTGGTGGCCACGTAAAGGTGAAGAAGAATAAGTTAAAGCCACAGAACTTAATTCAGCTCTATCCCTGAACTCCAAAAACTACAGAACTGCATAGCACAGAGCTGAGAGCCACAACACATTTGTATTGGGCTTCTGGGTATCAAGAACTACCGATAAATTTGCCTATTGTGCTAAAAAAACATTTAACCTTGAGATAGTTCAACTCTAATCATCCAGGAGTAGACCCTTTCACAGTTCTCTTTCTCTGCAGAGGATCAAGTGCTTTCTTCCCAGTCAATCCATACTGTTTTAATGATACGGATCATGTGCTTGCATAAATTACAGCTTTAAGTTAAAGTCAGACCCCAGGCAGCCTAAAATTCTACCCTGTGATAATTTAAACATGAGTTTTACAGCTGAACCACAGGAAGCACATTCAGGCATCCACTGGACTGAGCATTTTTCCCCTCACTTCACTATGCTGCTCAGCCCAATTCATAGCAAGCAAGCACTTCAAAATGCTCTCATTACTGAACAGCACTCTCAGCAAGAGCGAGTGTCGTTCCTTCCAGACAAGAATGCTCTAGAGCTTTTAAAGTGCACAAAAGACATCTCCAGAATTTTTCAAGTATATCTTCAAACAATATTCTTCTGCTTATACGTCAAGTACTTACCAGTTGCAAAAACATGTTTAGGATTCTCTAAAATCGGCCCAATCTTTTTTCCTGCCGTTTTCCCAGGATGTTGAGGGCTAAAAGACATCTAGTACAAGGTAACGTATCGAGTGCTAGACTTACC